ACCTTTCACATAAGACTTTGGGGTTTAAAGTCCTGCATGAGTTTGGGATGAAAACTCAGGCTTAAACCGTAGCAGAGCATAACAAAATGGACACAGGTCTGTCAGCGGGAGGGATGGAGTTGAACTCAGGAGTGTGGAGCTAGGAACAGTTCATTTCCCCCTAAAAGTCAATGCTCTACAATTTTGTTGTGTTGAATTTTTATAAAGGTTTATTTATTGGAAAGTCAGAGTGACAGAGGGAGAAGGAGAAATAGAAAGAGAAAGATCTTTCATCTGCTGGTTCACTCCCCAAAGGGCTGCAATTGTAGGAGATACATCAAGCCAAAGCCAGGAGCCAGGAATCCCACCCTGGTCGCCCACATGGGTGGCAGGGACCCAAGTACTTGAGCCATCTCCCACTGCCTTCCCAGGCACCTTCGTAGGAAGCTGGATCAGAAGCTGAGCAGCTGGGACCTGAACTAGCGCTCTGATATGCGAGGCTGGCATCACGAGAGCTGTGGTTACTCCACGGAGCTTCAGCACTGCCCTGTGAATCCGGGCAAGTGCGAGCTAGCAGGAGGCTGACCAACTGTGCCGGTGTGCTAAGGACTAAAGGGCACCCCAGGATGCAGGAACTCCCATGCCAAATCCCAGCATCCTGTGCCAATCTGGATGTGTCAGTCACCTTAGCTATGGCTCCAAAGGGGTCTCATGGCACAGGGTAGGGCCTCCAGGGTCATCCTCAGATGCCCCATATCCACTCCCCTTGCTGCCTTTGCATTGCTGTTCCCTTTGCCTGCAGTGCTTTTCCTGTGACCATCACAGGCTCCTCCCTCCCTTCAGGTCTGAATTCAAAAGCCCCTCCCTGGGCCACCTTCTGTGGACACTTCCCTCTGCTCCCCCTTGCTCGCTTCCCACTTGCTGCCTGACTTCCTTGCTCTGTGGCTCGCGCGGCAGGTCGCTGGGATCCTGGACCTGGCATGGGAGGGAACTGACCACGTCGGGCAGGGGACAGGTGTCAGGGTCGGTACACAAGACAGCGGCTTGGAAAGTGTGCAGCTGAAGGGTGAGCGTCCAGCTTCTGTTTTCTGTGGAGGGGGAGCAAGGGTGCAGTGGGGATGGGGGTGGGGGTGTGTCGCTCCCCCTCTTCGTGGAGGAACGACACAGGACCCTGCGCTGTTCTTTCTGTCTGCTCGGCCCTCCCCGGGTTTGCTGCTGGTTCTTCCCGGGTTGGCTACCATCCCTTCCACCTCCGTGGAAGGGCAGTTCCCCCTGGCCGCATTCCCCACCTCCGCAGGGGAGCGGCACACCGCCGGCCGGCTCTACTCGGGGGCTGCACAGGTGTTCCCCTTAGATGTTCCCCATAGATGTTCCTGGTGCATGCCGTCTCTCTCCTCCTTTATAGTCCTCCTCCGCCAATCCCAACTCGGCTGCCCACACGCCGAGTACGCTGCTCTCCTCCAATCAGGAGCAAGTCCTACAGTTTATTGGTTGAACTGGAGGCAGCTGTGCGGAAGCTGTTTCCTCCTCTCCCAGCGCCATATTGTGGGAGAGCAGATGCATAGAATAAGTCTTAATTCGAGTAACTCAGTCTAGTGCGGGCTGCTCCCCACAGGGTGGGGGGTGGTCAGAGACCTGTGCAGAAGGAAAGAGTCTGAAATCGCCACCAGGAAGAAGTGGCCACAGGGACCGCTGGGCAGTCCCGAGTGAATAACGGCATCGTGACCTCCACCAGGCGCCACTTCGGCAGCGGCAGCTGGGGTTCAAGGGCAGGCAAGAGAGTGAGGACAGCAGGTGCACTGGGGCCAAGGTTCTGCCCGCCAGTGCTGAAGAAGAGATGGACGGCAAAGGAGCGAGGGCCAGCTGGCCAGATACCCGACGTCTCAGAGCTGGACTCGGGGAAGAGCGAGCACGGAGAGACTGTGGTCAGCGCAGGACGCAGCGATGAGAGGTCTGGGAGGAGAAGGGCGTCTGAGTGCTGACAAGGCCCGGGGGGAGTGTGGAGTAGGCCGCTGGGATGCAGTGAGGGGCCGCATGTCCTCAGGGTCACTCTCGTGGACCCTGAAGACACCCAGGGTGAGGCAGGGCTTAGGGTCATGAAGAGGATCCAAGCCACAGTCCTAGGAAAGACTGCCTGGGAGGTCAGGAGACTACACGGGTCGGACAGGAGGAGTCAGCTGAGTGGCAGGAGCCTTAAAGGAACAGGGGAAAGGAAAAGCAATGGTTGGCACCGGGCCAGCATCCTGGGTCAGACCCTGGTTTAAATCCTGGCTGCTCGGCTTCTGATCCGGCTCCCTGCTACCAGGCAGGGCCCAGGTACCAGGACCTCTGCCTCCCGCACGGGACACCCAGGTGGAGGAGTTCCAGGCTTCTGGCCTCGGCCTGGCCCGGCCCCAGCCATTTGGGAAATGAACCAGTGGATGAAAGATGTCTCTCTCTCTCTTTGCCTTTCAAATAAAGAAAAATTGGAGAAAAAGAGAAAAGCAATGGCCTGGAAGCTGCAGGGAAACAGAAGGGAGCAGTCACCTGGCTGCCGGAATTTTCAACTCAAAAATTCTGACCCCTGCAGGTGAGGACGGACCCTTCCCTGGGGGGGCCAATCAGGCTATGCAGAGGGAGGCCCTCTGGGGTGGCCCAGAGCCACGCCCCCACCACCTCTATGCTATAAGCAACTTACAAAGTCCCAGGGAAGGCTGGAACTATCCCAGGGAGGGGCTTTGTCTTTAAAAGAGAGAATAAATTAGCTTTTATTTATTTTTTAATGGACAGAATTACATACTGCATTAGTCAGTGTTTTGTTACTTTAACAGAAACACCAGAGACACGGAGACACGTGGGGAGCTACTCAGGAAGGCATAGCTGACAGTTTTGGAGAGTCACAGTCTAAGATCTGTGGCCCTAGTGATTTGGGCATCTGGTGAGGCTATGACTTTTTTTTTTTTAAATTAATGATTAATTATTGATTTGAAAAATGGAATTAGAGGAGAGAGAGAGAGAAAGGAGACAGAGGTCTTCCATCTGCTGATTCACTCCCCAACTGGTCATAACAGCTGAGGATGGGGCGGGCCGAAGCCAGGAGGCTGGAACTCCATCCTGGTCTCCTCACCACCTAGGCCACCTTCCTCTGCCTTCCCAGGTGCATGAGCAGGGAGCTGGGTTGGAGGTGGAGCAGCTGGGACCCAAACCAGTGCCCATCCGGGATCCAGCTGCACCGCATCAGCCCTGAGACCACTGCCCTTCTGAAATACGTTCTCTGCATCCAGCTAAAGCAGTTTGGCAAAAACAAAACAAACAAGAAGGAAAGCAGACGCGCCACTCGGCCTGCCGGGGCGGGGATCCTGGTCCCTGGACTTCTCAGCACGTCCAGCACTGAGCTCATCACCTGCACGGTGCAGAAACCTGCACGGGGAGACGGGGCAGCCCCGGCTCATGCTTCTCAACACCCACTCCCTACTCCTCTCCTGGTAACAGAGACCCAGCTTTGGCCCAGCCAGTTCTCCCTTTCCCAGCCTTCCTTGCAGCGGCCACGTGGCCTTGGTCTTGCCTGCGAAGCGCCCACAGAAATCTTGGGAGGAGATAAGAGAGTTTCTGGGCAAAGTGCTGCTGTCCTGAAAAGAAGGAGCAAACAGTCACACCCACTTCTTCCTGCCTGGGATTTAGAAGAGATGTCTGGTGCTGTGGCAAGCATATCTTAACTATGTGGCAAATGCCAGTGTTTGGAGGTATGCAGAAGGCAGAAGGAGCCAGGGTCCCTGATGGTGCACTCGGCAGCTGAACCAAAGCTGTCAATTAAGAAAATTAATTCCTGTGACGGGCGATGTGCCACTGGCACCCCACATGGGCGCCGGCTGAAATCGAGGCTGCTCCACCTCCCACCCAGCTTCCTGCTCACACAGCCTGAGAAAGCAGCAGAAGATGGTCCAAGTGCTCAGGCCCCTGCCATCCACGGGGGAGACCAGATGAAGCCCCTGGCTCCTGGCTTCAGGCTGGCCAAAGTGGACCAACAGATCTCTCCGCTTCTCCTTCTCTGGAATTCTGCCTTTCGAATAAATAGAGCTTAAAAAGAAAGAAAACTAACTTGCAATTTGCCTACCTATTTGGGGTTTATGGTTAATTCGCCACACAGGAGCTTAGAGCGCCCACCAGGAAAACATAGCATGCCATAGATTCAGGTCATCTGTTTCCACCAAGTGATTTTCCAAAAACAGAATGGAACGCTAAAGGCGCTGAGGGGAGCCCAGGCACAAGGTGCGGGAGTGCACAGGCACTTCGTGGAGGCCTTGCTCAGCGAGTCACCCCCGGGGCTGCAGAGCGAGGAGGTAGGACGACCTCCCCAAGCCTGGCCCTGGGCTGCACCTCGGCTGGGGCAGCCAGCTGCCACTCCAGGACAGCCGACGGGGCCGAGGCCACCGAAGCTGGCTGTTGTCGCGCGCACTCATCCACCAGCCCAGAGCCGGTTCTCCATCCCGAGCTGCTGGGCAGTAACAACGCACGTTCAAACAGGGCTGCCGCTGCCCGCCTGGGCCGACCACGCCGCATCTATCCAAAAGCTCTGGAAGTGGCCAGAAACGCCCGAAATGGCTGGGTCCGCTGAGCTCCTCGGCTTCCCCTCCCCATCCGCCTCCCGCCCCCTAAGGAGAGTGGGTTGAGATTGGCGAAAAACAGTTTCGGGATCAGTCTGGGTCCTCGGCAAGGGACGCCACAGCGCTGCAGAAAGCCGACGATGCAAACAAAACCCGAGCTCAGCCTAGGCCGCGCGGTCACCCCGGACGCCGCGCCCGGCAGCGGCGGGGATGCCATCCCAGCGCGGCGGGCAGGCGGCGGCGGCGGCGGCCACCCGGCCCGCGGATCCCGAGCCTCCCAGGCGGGCCCCGGCGCCGCTCCCCGCGCCTCGCCTCGCCTCGCCCGCGCGCCGGGCCCGGGGCCTCCCTCCCCGCGCCGGCGCGCGCCCGCAGCCTGCCCTGTGCACCCGGCCCGCCTCCCGGCGCGCCGCCCCCGCCCCCGGCCCGGCCCGCACTCACGCTCCACGTCGTGCAGCTTGGCCCGCTCCTCCTCCAGTTTGCCCTTGAGGCTCTCGGCCTCGATCTTGAGCGACGCCAGCGTCTCGTTCTCGTGCAGCCCGTCGGTTGCCATCTTCGGCGCGGAGGGAAGCGAGAGCGGGGATGCGGTGAGCGGGCGCCGAGCCGCGGCGGGCGCTGCAGCCCCAGCCCCGGTCCCGCGGCCCCGAGCGCCGCCCCGCCGCCCCGCCCTCCGGCCGTGACGCGCGCCGCTACGGCTGGGCTGAGGCGGCGACCCCCGCGCCAGCTCGCGCGTCCCGCCGCGCCCCCTGCACCTGCGGGCGCGCCCTGGCGCACCGCCCGGCGCCCTGGCAGCGCTGCGGCGGCTGCGCGCGTCCCCGCGGGGGAGGGAGTGTCATGCCCATTTCACCGGTGGGAACACTGAGGCTCGGAGATGCTAGGTGACATGCCAGCGGATGCGCACGTGGTGTGCTACCGGACAGCGACGCAGCCCTTCCTCTCCCCACTCCCCGCCCCTTCCCCCAATCAGGAGCTTGAGGGACTGCAGCTGGCTCCTGCCGAAGACAAGACAATCGGGAGGCAAGGCTCACTAAGCACTCAGGGGTCACACTCCTAGAAAGAAGGCACGGCAGGATGTGGCCCCAGGCAGTCTGGCTCCAGCAGACCTGTGGACTTGGCGTGGGTGACCCAGCTTCTGCCTTCTGCTGGGGTCCTCCTCTGTGACCGGGCATGGGTTGCGCAGAAATGGGAAGGCAGCGCATTCTGGAGTGAACCCCGACAAGCAGACTCCTGGGTGCTGCCCCCACTCTCTCCGTGCTCCTGCCCCCCTGAGAACCCGGACTCTCCTTGCTTGTCCCAGGACAGCTGGAAATCACCTACCTCGATCTATCCACAGTTGTGGTGCAGGTTCGAGTCTGGGATCTGCCATTTCCTTCTCTGGGAACCCTGCACCCGACGGTTGCCGTGGGAAGGAAAACCTTCCGCAGACTTCTGCGTACACAGCAGATGTCTGTTAGCTGCCACTTGCCTGCTCCCTTGCAGGGGTACAGGTTGATCTGTGGTTTCCCGCAGTGTTGAGCATAATGCTGATATACAGCAGGTGCTCAGTTAATGCTACTTTACTAAATGGATGTGCAAAACAGAATTGATAAAAGATCACTATATAAACTATGTCGTTTCAACTCAAACTAATACATGTGTTTTTATGTATGATGACTGTTCATGTCAGTATACAAGTAAAACAGAAAAGGAAAAATGTGTGTCTGAGTTCGAGGTGCTAAAGGGCTCTGCGTGAGTCAGCCTGCCGGTGGGGGCGGGGAGGGGGGGACAGATCCTGGCTGTGCTGTTGGCCTGGGACCTCCCTCCACTGAGCCTGGGGCTCCTGGTCTGCAGGGAGCAGGCAGGACCTTCTCTGCAGAGCCGTGTGTGGCACACAGCAGGTGCTCGTTGTTACGGCTGAGGCTGCCATCACACCGGAGCCTGATGACACAGCAGAGCGAGAATGAGAACTGGGTCGTGGCAGACACCCACCCAGGGGCCATCTCGGCATGGCAGCAGCATCTCTGCGCCCTCAGGCTGCACCTGTCAGACCCCCACGAGATGTGGTGGGTGGCTGGGGGTCTGTGTGTCTGTGTTGACCAAGGCTGGGCAGCCTGCTTCACACGAGGGCACGCCCTCCCCCGGCTGTCCTCCGCCTAAGGCAGAGCCGAGCATCCCCCCACCTTGGGGCGGGGGTGCCACCTGGAGATGACGTTGTGTGGCCTTCAGTGGCCAGGCTGGGTTTGCAGGACGCCTTCTTGCACTTGGGAGCTAACTCCTTTTTCCCTTCCTTCCTTCCTTCCTTCCTTCCTTCCTTCCTTCCTTCCTTCCTTCCTTCCTTCCTTCCTTCCTTCCTTCCTTCCTTCCTTCCTTTCTTTCTTTTTGACAGGTAGGATGGACAGTGAGAGAGAGAGAGACAGAGAGAAAGGTCTTTTGTTTGCCGTTGGTTCACCCTCCAACGGCCGCTGTGGCCGATGCACCGCGCTGATCCGAAGCCAGGAGCCAGGTGCTTCTCCTGGTCTCCCATGGGGTGCAGGGCCCAAGCACTTGGGCCATCCTCCACTGCACTCCCTGGCCACAGCAGAGAGCTGGCCTGGAAGGGGGGCAACTGGGACAGAATCCGGTGCCCTGACTGGGACTAGAACCCGTTGTGCCGGCGCCGCAAGGCGGAGGATTAGCCTAGTGAGCCGCGGCGCCAGCCTGGGAGCTAACTCCTTTTTAGAAGTCGAGGGAAGGCCGTGGCCCACCATCTTTCTGCAGGGTACAGGGCGGTACGGGGCCACCCCCATACCCCTCCAGGGGCCTTGGCACCTTTGTGAACAGTCAGCTGTCCGTCCCTGGCTGTCTCCTATCTTGTTTTGTCGCCCCTGGTGGTCACCATCTCCTGAAAGAGGATCTGCAGGCAGGGCCTCCGAGCTGGGGAGAAACCACAGTGTCTCAGTGGACCCAAACTCTGGGGTGCTGGGCTCCTTCAGCTCCAGGAGGACGCTGTTATTAGCAAACAGCGGGCAGGGGGAGCCCTCCCCAGGTGTCCTCGGCTTCGCGATTTGCAGAGCCAAGGGCAGAACAAGAGCCCTGCAGACAGAGCCTGACAAGACCTCAGGGTTACTGTGCCGTCTCCAAGCCTCTAGACGCCACCTTGCACTCTTTGCTTTGCTTTGTTTTATAGGATTTATTTAAAAATGTAATCACACTGGAACTAGAGGATAAAAAATGTCTTTTCCTTTTCAGCTGGATGAAATGCGAACACCATCTCTCCTGTGTTTGATGTGTGGTTTTGCAATTTGTTGAAGATTCAGGGCTTTTTCAGGAAGTTTTTTGGAAAGAGTGCTTTACCGCTTCTCACCAGGTGGGGGCTCTGCCGAGCTGCTCGATGGAAACCTAGCTTTGCCAATCAGATTCCTAAGGCTCCAGCCATGCTGTGCGTTATTTTTTGCTGCAAGATCTGGAGCCTGTGCATTGCCACCTCTGGAGAGGACTGGATTTTGTGTACTTTGAAAAGCACCAGCATTTGTCTTCACTTCCTCAATCTCCCTGAAGGCTTAGAAAGCACTCTTTGAGCGTTGTACTCACTATTGAATCCCTGTATAATTCATCCCGCGAGTCTTCCATCGAGCTGTACCTACATGCAGCTGGGACAGGGACCCTGAAAAGTGCCCTCAAGATTTGTCTTCCAGCCTCTTAGCTTGGTCACCTGCCAAGCAGAAGCCCACAGAGGAAAAAGAATTAGCCCTAGGAAATAATGACCGTGCAAACATTCCATGAGCACTTGCTTGCAGGCTTCTGCTTGGACTCCTAAGCAAATGGACTGACCCTCACACTACCAGTGACCATTGTTATTGAACCATCTGGAGACAGGCGTGAACTGTGGACCCCGGGGCCACTGCCTGGGCCTCTGCACTGACTGTGCCTCCGAGCTCTGGCGCATGGGAAATGTGTGTGCCCTGTAAGCTCTTGGGCAGCTCATCAGTTAGCAGCACTCTCAGGCAACACCAGTTTAAGACAAGTCACCCTCAAAGCTTTAAGAAGTGGCACTTGGGGGGCCAGCACTGTGGTATAGTGGGTAAAGCTGCTGCCTGAAGTGCCAGCATCCAATATGGACACTGGTTCAAGTCCCGACTGCTCCACTTCCAATCCAGCTCTCTGCTATGGCCTGGGAAAGCGCTAGAAGATGGCACCCCTGTGGGAGACTCATTAAGAAGCTCCTGGCTCCTGGCTTCGGATCAGCTTAACTCTGGCCATTGCAGCCATTTGGGGAGTGAACCAGCAGATGGAAGACCTGTCTCTCCCTTTCTCTGTCATTCTGCCACTCAAATAAATAAATAAAAATTTAAAAACCACCTACTGCCATACTTATAAAAAGAAAAAAGTCGCACTTACGATTTCTGCACATGTTGAACAGTAGCTGAGTTGTTGAGATTTCTTGAAAACGGGCCTCAGAGCCCTTTGTTTGAAACATTTATCACAGGAGCCAAACACGTTAACCAGGAAGGTCTGATCGCACATCTTCACCCACGAGGAGGCTGTAACACAGTAACAGGCAGAGGGGAGCGGAGTGGGTGGGGAGAAGAGCCAGTGGCTGCAGTTTTCCCCAACCTCTCCCTTTCCTCTGGGGGCTGCCGGGGTCCCTGCTGGCTGGGTCAGGTAGACGGGGTTCGTGTCCAACCTTCCCCTTATTGCAACAGGCTGGGGCAGCTCAGCCCACTCACTGCTCAGGGAGAAAGCTCAGACACCAGGTTTGCCGAACTTGACCTGGCCCGGGCTGTTTCGGCAGGTTGGCAGGCACCCCGTTGAGCTCTGTAGCTTGGTGTCCATTCTGTGTGGGTTGCACATGAAACCCATTGTTGTCATGGAGACTCGAACTTAACACTTTTCAAAACGTGCCTTCCCTCGGGGCGAACTTTGGAAGGCAGACGTCAGCGAGTGGCAGAGCCTGAGCCCAGCCGAAGCCGTGAGGCTGAGTACGTGCCATGCAGCATTCGACTGATGGAACAGCTGAGAAGCAGAGTCCTCACCTGTTCTCACAGAAGTCCACGGACTGACCCGGCCAGGCCCCTGCAGGGAGGGTGGCCAGCCCAGGCAGACCAAACCTCCCGGGGCCTGCAGCTGCAGCTCTGGCTGCCCCCGTCCTGGTCCCATTACTTGACTTCTTGGAAGATCTGTTTCATATGTCAAACGGAGACCTTGAAGTTGTGCCTCACAGGGTTGTCAGGAGACTTACAAGAAACTGTGCCGAGAGCTCAAGACTGGAAATATGAGCACACCATGGAAGTCATGCTGCCAGGTGAGTGGCTGCAACAGCAGGAGCAGCAGCAGCCTTACGAAGGAGATGTGGAGAAAAAAGCAAGGATAGCTAATGCAACAGTTTAGGTGAGACACCATGACGGCCTGGCCAGCAGGACTGGGAGCATGCTTGGGAAGGAGGCGGCGGAGCTGGAGTTGGCACCATGGGGAAGAAAGGGAGATGCCCACCATATGGCCTAGGTTTCTGTTTGGGAGACTGAGGGTATGTTGCTGGAGAGGGAGGTCAAGGAGGTTAATGGGGCAGGGAGCAGCCTGTTTGCCTTTTCAATTTAA